TTTTTTTTTTTTTGCTGTCTCTCTACTTTACCAAGCATAATGTCCTTCTCCAGAGACTGGTCTCTCTTGATAACATACACAAAGTATAAAAGACAACACCTTCTTATCCTTCCTTTTAAGAAGTATTCCAGCTAAATTCTTTCAAGAGGGATTTGTTTTTTCTTCTGGCAGCCCCTAGTATATTCAACATTTATTAAACAACAATCAGAATCAAACTTTAGTGGAATGTTTCTCTCCACACCCTTAACATAACCTTTGGCTCCAAGAAAAGTTTGTAGGCACAGCTGAAGAAAACTTTCAAAGATTGTAACTAGTGATAATGAATGACATTCTTAAAGCTTTTCTTTAAAAAAGCATTAACAGTTGGAAATGAGGCATATTAAGGCTAAATATAAGCAAAATGTTTAGTGTTTTCTGTGTCTCGGAAAATTTCTACAAAATAAACTGTCAGCAACATGAAGTTATGTATTGAGTACTGTCAATTCAGACTATTGGAGACCTCACGTGACAATGAATATCTCATAAAAGCCACCAAATTTTGGGTTAGCAGCCGAAGTCCCAGCCACTGTACCACCAGGGTTCATAATCAATTTCTATATTGAAAATTTATGAAAGAAAGAAGTCAGTGCCCTGTTGTTTGCATAGAGCACTTTTCTTTTTCAATCAGCCGCTTAAGGGCTCCCTTGAACTCTTTATTCCGGAGAGTATAGATCAGTGGGTTTAAGCTGGGTGTAACAATGGAATAAAAGATACTGAGAAGTTTACCCTCATACTGAGATGGACTGTTTCCTGGCTGTATGTACATGTAGGTAACAGTTCCAAAGAAGATGCAAACCACAAGGAGATGGGAAGAGCAGGTCCCAAATGCCTTCTTTCTCCCCGTGGCAGATTTGATTTTGAGAACAGCTACAGCAATGAAGCCATATGAGACCAGAATGAGAAGAAGTGGTGCAAGCAAAATGAAAAAACACAATGCAAATATAATCTCCTCCATGGCTGTTGTGTCCACACAGGCAATCTTGACCATGGCAGAGATTTCACAAAAGTAGTGATCCAGCTGGTGGTTTCCACATCGAGGAAGGCTCATGGCATAGGGAGAAAGGATCATGCAATTAGTGATACCGATGCCCCAAGTCAAGGCCACTAGGCCTTGACAGAGTTGGGGGTTCATGATGGTCATATAGTGTAAAGGCTTGCAGACAGCGTTAAATCGATCATAAGACATTACGGCCAGAAGCATACATTCAACTGTGCAGAGTGCAACATCAGTGAAAAGTTGAAAGGCACAGCCCCCAAAGGTTATTCTCTTGTCTTTACCCCAGACATTGACCAACATTTGTGGAACTATATTTGTGGTGTAGCAGAGATCCAAGATGGCCAAACTTCTAAGGAAAAAGTACATTGGGGTTTCGAGACGTTTATCCAACACTGGGAGCAGGATGATGGCTGCATTTCCTGTCAAGGCAATGGTGTAGAAGAAAAGGACCAGCCCAGAGATGGTCACCTCCAGCTCGGGCTGTCCTGAGAATCCAACAAGGAGAAATCCACTATCATTGATCATTTTCCTGTTTCTTTATGTCAGATCTGAGAATATCAGCACATTGAAAGGTACAGTAAGTATATTTATAAAGTATAATATATTTGCACATATGTGATAGGTGAGAAAGAGCCCACCATCAACTCTCATGATCCTGTCATTGTATATGCTCATTGAAATAAGTCTCACATTTATTCCCAGGTAGTATCCTACTCTACCCGTCATAGGCTGTTATTGCTTTCATGTTTACAATTCGACTTTGACTACTTCTATGGCAAGGCAAAAAGTTACAAAATTCACATAGGATATTTTTGAGCAAAACGACTGGTTCAAATCGATGGTCTTCTCTTTTATCGATAAGGGTTCTGGGAAAGAAGGTTGAGAATCTAAAACAAAGCATTTTCTTTTCATCCAAAATTTCATGGAAAATACAGATCCTACTTTTCTCTCTTGTTATGCCGTTTTATTCTCATACATCTGCTGCATAGGTTCAGTCCTGCTGTGGATATTCATTGTTTTATCTGAATGTTATTCCTTATTTTATTTTTTCTATATGAAAGCTCTCTTCTTTGACCTCAATCGTGTATAACCAAATATCACTTGCTTTCTCTAGCCTCACTGCTAGCACTCTCTCTCTCTCATTGCCAACACTGTCTCTATACCTGAACTTTTCACTTCATCTCCAAGGTTAGTGAGCACATTAAGGTCCGTGACTGCTAAGCAAACGCTGGAACTTGAAACAACCTGGAGGTACCTGGGAAGAAAGGCCCAGAGACCTAACTCTGAAACTAAGATCCATGAGAGCCCAGATGTACACGGGCACACACATATATGGTTCCCATGACAGCATTTCAACTGGATGGCTACTCGCCCTCCCACCCCATCTTCTTTGAAGGGATACTTTTTTTAATTAATTATTTAACTTTCTAGTTAATCTCTACTAAGCTAATGAATTTCCTCCTTTATCCAAGACTTCCCACAGAAAAATTGATATTAACAGCCTTGCCTTTAATTATGTTAAACCTTTTGATAGACGGGCACCATTAGCTCTCTTCACCACATTTGCTTATGCACACGTTTGTCTTCAGTGGTTGTGTCAGTAAAGCGGGCACCCACTGATATGATTTTCAGTTCTTTGATGTCTGATAACTGATCCCTTCTACGCCTC